TTTTGTCCATGTTTGATTAAGATTAAAATAAGATTTTTAGTAGATTTTAATAAAATTTGATGGAGTGTGTAGTTGATAAGTTATGAATTCCATAAATCTGTGATTGAAATTAATAATTGACTTTCATTTAAATTTTAATCAGATTTTAACGTTACCAAACAAGGGCAAATATATATAAGTCGAACGACTCACGTGAAGATGAAGGGTTTTGTATGCAAATGATATTGATTGACAACATATAAAGCATTCTCAATGATTTAACATTAATTAGTTCAATTGTTGAATAGTTGCCTCATGCTATGGATGAGCCACAAGAGTTGTACCAAAACAAATGGGTCTCCCATGTGTTTGAAATCTAGTGTCCCGAACTTATTGTTCTTTCTATATAATTTTTATATTCTAACAAATTATAATTTAAAACATTTTCATTTGCTAAGTAAAAATAATGCATCGAGTCATTAAAAGTGTATCGAAAAATAGCAAATTTAAGGCATCAAATCTGAATTCCCTCATCACGGGTACCCATGACAAAGTGCCTCATTTAGCACTTGTATGACAAAGCTTTTGTGATATTATAATCGAATCCAACTTTATTTTTATCCACACATTTTATTGGATCATCATTTTTTTATTGACCTTTTGGTCACATATTTATTGGGATCCACCAGTTTATAATCTTAAAAAGGCTTGTCAAATAAGGGCTAATTTAAGGGTGTAATATATCAATGCTCTCTAAAGTTTACACGAAGTTTTATCTTAACCATCAAATTTTAAAATTTTTCATTATCATCTCTCAACTTGTAAATTGAAGGCAAAACTCTTCTAACATTTTATCGACAAGCTTTGAGAGCCACACAGAAGAAATGGACCACCCCATTCCCATCCCTAACCCCCTATCCCAAGGGGGGAGGGCACTTCCATGGACTAAGACTTGGGCAAAAGGGATTGTGAAATAAGGTGTGATGCAATTATGGAACCATGGCGTTCATGGGTAGGGATCTATTCGGCTTGGGCCGCTTGTTAACGAAATATTTTTTTTCAATTAAAATCATCGCAAGTATACAGTTTGTTAACAAGTAATAAAGTGAATTTTTAGAGTCTGAATATGGTTCCACAAAGATTGAGTTGTTTAATATTACCTATCGTATCCTTAACGGAAACTAAATTACTCAATGTGAATGTTTACCTAAATAAATTCTATGTTTAGAAAGAAAACCCTAAATTGGAATGCAAAGCCTAGTTTATGCAATTTTTATGATTGAAATAAGATTAATATGCAAGACAGATGTTTAACAACCTAGAATGCAAAACAACTGTTGAAAACGCAAATTTGTAGTATTCAATGTAAATTAAGCGTACTAGGATCACAATTTCCCATGCAACGATCACCTTAAACCCTAATTTTACAATGTGGCAACGTGATTGAGTTGTTGACGAATCAATGCTCCTAAATCTATCAAATACTCTATCTCGAGATGTATTGAACCTATTTTTACATACCACCGACCTATATCTCTATGACAAATGCATATATAAAAATGCATGCGATTTTGTAAGCACTTATAGATTCACGTAGGGTATAGTGGTATATTTCTATCCCCTATTGAACCCTACGATGATTTATATAGTGTCGAACATATTCTACTTCTCTCGAATGCAATAACAAGTCATCCAAACTTACAGAATTACGAGCCCTTAATTGCGAAAAACAATAATTGCATATAAATCATTCAAACAATCAAAACATGTTTTGATGTCAAATTGTAAAACTAGAAATTTAAAGATCTCATCACATGGTACATTGATCTCCTAGTACATGTAAATCTAGCCTAACATGGAAATAATATTGAAATACATCATATATTGAAGAGGAAGCATCACCGGTTTATGAATTCTTGATTTGATCTTCATGCAATCTTTCGTTTACTCCGCTCAAAATCCTCTCCAAGATGTGGTTTGTTACCTCCCAATGCGTTCTCCTCGTTTTTGGACGTGCCTAGAGCTTTAAAAGACTCCTAAGATTTGTTTCCATAGGAGTTTTAATTAAAAAAGGAAACTAGAAAATTTTCGCTGCAATTGGTCTAGGCGATACATTTTCTTCCATATGGTGCGATCGTCCAGTTTTTATAACTGGGCTGTCGCCCAGGCAAAATTTATTCCATATGTTGCATTTTAGTCCCCAAAGTCGATTTTTTATTCTTTCAAGCCCTTTCTTTAGCATTTTCAACCCTTTGACTTTCAATTGCATCCAATTGAACCCGCAACATCTTTAATCTTCATTTTGTGGTCCGAATCAACTATTGAAATGTTGCAAATTAGTCATCATACTTTGGATTTCTTCCTTTTTGATCCTTTTTCGTTTCTTTTCTCTTGAATTCTGCTACATCCATCAATATAGTACTACAAAATAAAATTACATAGAATTAAGCCATAATTCAAATGCTTTGATCAACAATTAGTCATGTTTTGTGGCCAAATAAGCGTGTAAAAAAACACTTATCACCGCCCGTAGCTCGGGCCGAAAAAAGCCCAAGCCCGAGCTGGCCATAAGCCTTAAAAAAAATCACCTTAAAGTTAAAGGCAGTCGCAGTTGGCTGCCTGATTAATTAAAAAAAAAAGAGCAAAAAAAGCGAGCATGCCCAGCTCGACTCGGAAAGGCCTGAGCCAAAAGCTCAAGTCGAGCTTATTTTTTTTGACCAAGCAAAAGCTCGACCTGGCTCGGGCTTGGAAAAAAGTTAGCTCACTTTACTCGAGTCGAGCCCAAGCCTTGAGTTTCAACTCGTGAGCGGCCTCGACTCATTGACATCCCTATTCATGGGTAAGTAGCTTAACTAAAACAGACACTTTCAAGGGCAATGTTGTGCTTTGTTTAACACGTTTATGATGTTTGATTATTGTTTGCTATTCAAAAAGAAACAATATATTGTACTTCACAGCTCAATCTCACCTCCATCTATTGTTCAACAATTAGATTACAAACTTTTTATAGATCTCTTTTTAAAATTTTGTTCTTCTCAAACTTATTCGTGTCAAATCGAGTAAAATATTTGATAGACTTTTCAAGTTTGTGTTAGCAACTTAAGTGTTAAACCATGTATATTAGGAACTTGATCAAGTTCAATATAGTGGAGTGTAGGACTTGAACTTGACTTGTGTGTATAACAATTGTAACTCGAGCTAAATTCGACTAAATGAAAGCTTAGTAGGATATTGAATTTGAAAACTCAATTTCGATAGAGCAGAATTTTTAGAAAGAACCACTAACTTCAAAACAAAAAGAATATATACATAGTTGGAATATAAAAGGTCAAAGATGTAATGAGTTCGTAACAAAATAAACCCATAAAAGAATGTAAAACTTCATTTTATAATAGAAACTCATAAAAAATGTGTAGTAAAAATTAATTACAGATATTTCTTTTAAATAATAAAATGTAGAATGGTAGAAAATCTATAAACGATTGAGACTCGTGATAACACGGTATTCTAAAATGAAATTGTCTGTCGTTAACTATTGTGATCTCTTTAGACAACCACTCCCAGAATACAAGGAACGAATCACTTGTTTAGCAACAATTGATTCCAAAACTCTCATTTTTAATTTGAAGACAATATCTTAATAAAATAATTCTAGAATCATTTTTTTATAAAGTGCTGAAGATGAAAATATTCGTATTTTTTTCGAGGAAAAGATGTATATAACCCATCAATTATAACTCACTCTTTAATCTGGATTTGATTAAAAAGAAATTGTGGGTTTTATTATTCCTCTAAATCACTTAGTAACTTCCACATAAATTTCACACATTTTACCATTCGGACAACTATCCCAATTTAATAATTTATTTCAAATAAAGTATTACATGAAAGAAATAAAATAACTATTGTTCTAGAGTACAAAATAAATCATGTAGGCTTAAACTTGAAAATTAACTTTGTATAGTCTATCGAGTTTGCAAACTTTAAAGTGAACTATGTTTCGAACTCTAGAATTATGATTGCAATCGAGATAATATAACACACGAATGACTTCTAAGATAATCATTGAGTTATCATGGTGTGTTCACCAATCATTAACTTTATTTCTTTGAGTGCTCTAAAGAATTAGCATCAATTTTCATATGAAGTGGCTCCAATGCCACACTAAAATATGTGCTTCTATTAATAATGCGTTTTATCTAAGCACCATATTGAATAACAACTACAGAGAAAGTATCTAGAGTCTTAGCTCATCTTCAAATCAATGCAATTGGTACCATTATATCATTGGAAAGGATTTGGAATAAATTCCACGTAGTATCCCACATACCAATCAGATACTGTTGTTGTCCCAATGAGCCTTGTGTGGGATCCCCAGTCGCAATGTTGTGTTTCAATTATAGGTGATTTATTTCTAATAGACTTAAGCCACAATCCCTAGATATTTTCTGAACTAACTCTTTCGCTAGTGGCATTTCACGATGAAGCCATTAGACGAAAATAATGGTTGAAGCAAGGAAGTACTGACAATAATGCCTCTTATTGGACTTTTCTTACAAAAAAGTAGCCACAGTAAAAGATATTTTGGGTTGAAAAGTGGGAAATAGTAAAAAACATTATAGAACTCGATTGACTACAATGAGTGCTAATAAATCAGCTACAGTGGTGTGAAAACGGCTCCACCAGAATGAATAGTAAATGCCTCATTCTCTCTTTTAAGGCAGTAAATGCCTCATTCTCTCTTTTAAGGCAGTGTAGATTTGGAGGTGGTGTAGAAATAGTAGTGGGATTTGTCAAAAATGTAAGGATAAAATGGGAAATAAAGAAATACTTCATGAATGAATAGTAAATGATAGATTGCCACTTTTAAGAGAAGAGGGATATAATAATGATGATGATGATAATGATGATGATGATGATGATAATAATCACTACTCTCCTAAAAGAGGCAATCCCTGCATCACTGATCCTTTTCGTAGTACTCGATTTCACACACTGATCCAAAACTTGTTTTCTTACTATTCATCCCATTTATTCCACTTTCATTCACTTGGTTTTGGCTACTGTTCCCAAATATCTTCCATGTAAAATTACTTTTTGTTCTCTCTCTCTTTCTCTCTCTCTCTTATCACTTCACATGTCTTTTGGATTTACTCCTTCCACAATCAAACCAAAATAAGGAAGAAGAAAGGTAAAATCCAAAACATACATACGCTGGCCTTCTATTGAACTTACTTTTCATTCTGTTTACAGATGCTATTTAGTTTGTTCATTTTCATTTGGGTATTGTTCTGGATTGAACAATATATATTCCTCCAAAATAGAAATTTCAATTTTTACAATCTTCCAATTTTTTTAGTGTTTTTTTTTTGGCTAAAATATGTCTGTTTGGTGGTTCTCCTTCCTTTTCCTATAGATTCATTCATCTTCATCTTTTTCTCTACGATGCTCCCAAGTAAAAACATTATTCTTCCCCTATTTTGTATTCTGTAGTAACAGTAATCATGGTAATTTTAAATGATTCCTTGAATTTGGTGGACTTCTTGCGTAGTTGTTGAACAACACATATCCAGTTGAAATAGAAATTCCAATCATTACAATCTTCCAATTTTTTCAATGTTTTCTTCAATAAGATTTTTGTTTTGTAGTTCTCCTTCTTGTAGGTTCTTTCATCTTCATTCTTTTCTCTAAGATACTCCCTGGTAAAAATATTGTTTCTTTCCCTTTTTTTTTTGGGGAAGGGAGGTTGCAGTAACAGTAATCATGACAATTTTGAATGATTTCTTAAATTTGACGAATTTGTTGCATTGTTTCATTAGTGATGACGTGCACTTGAGGGACTAGAACAAGAGTTTGAAGATTGCAAAACTGATAATGTAAGTAGAGTCGTCGTTTTTGTGGATCACAATATATCATATTCTATCATACACTACCTTAAAAGAGAGAATAAGGCAATTACTGGTCCCTCACTTTTAAATTAATTTTAATTTAGTTATAATTTGTAATCAATATCGAATTATTTGTTTACAGCAAGATGTGACGATTGCAGTTTTAAAAGTGCAGTTACACTGCAAGGGGTGCATAAAGAAAATCCTCGAAATTGTGAACAAAACAAAAAGTGAGTAGCTACCATGTTACGTTTACTAAATTGAAGTGCTCAACGGAGACATTGATGGCATTATTGGGTATGAAGTTGTGCAAATAGACAGATGGAAGGATTTAATGACAATGATGGGAGTAATGGACATGAAGGCTTTGGCTGAGTCTCTGAATGAACATAGGAGGATTTGATATTTTGCTCATCCAGACGATTACCCTTTGCAATCAAATTTTGATTAAACTGGCTGCTTTCATGAAGAAAATAAAATAATACTCTTAAGATATATATTCGTTTGCAAATTCCTGCTTCTTTTTCACATTGTATATAGTTCTGTTGGCATTATGTACAAGTTTGATTTACTTCCAATCTCAAATGTTGTGATTGTTTGCTAAACTGCCATTCTTGAACCTTGCAAGATAATGAAGTTGTCACTATCCATGTTTGTTATTTTCTTATGCAATGTTCAAGGCATTGAGTCATTGACATATATGTATTGTTGGGGGTCTGAATTCTTTTTTTTTCCTTGTGCCCTTCAATTATTTCAAAGGTAAAAGAACATATATAAATGAACCGAATCACTATCCACCGATGCCACATTTTCCTTGGAATAAACTTATTTAACATCACACATCTCTATATTATCCTCAATTCCAAGTTCAATATTAGTTTAACCAGGACTATATGTTAATTCTAATGTGAATAATATCTTCAAGTTAAAGCAAAATTCAACTTTCAATGAGTAGAAACAAAAAGTGTTTTCAAATAACACCTTTTTAGCCTATGTTTTGAACTTCATGTAAATAAAATTTATCCGTTCATTTTTTTCCTTTCTCAGGGAAGTTCATGAAAAAGTAAATCAAGCAAGGAAAAATGTGTCTCTTCGTGTCTCTACTCAAGCGCACAAACAAGAATAGATTGCTGCTCGTTGAGAGAAATTAAAGTAGGCCACCTCCTTAATTAGCTTGACAAATTGAGAGCAGACCTAAGTGCAATGTGAATATCTTTGTCCTCCTTCCAAATATTTATCGTAGGCATCTCATTGGTAAATACTAGCATATGCATCTGAAATTCACTTGTCTCCCATATTACAGCAATTGCAATTTAGTCACAAAGTTTTAGTTTATATGAATTCCTTTTGTGATACTAGAATTCTCATAATCAATTGAAGTGATCATATAGTAATTTTCTATAGAAATTTGGGTGTTAATCGTATGATCGATCCTCCATTAGAAGACACTATTTTGTGGGTATAATGACACACATTTTTCTTTGTGTTTGTTGTTGAAGGTCACTGTTCGTTGTGGGTACCAAACATTAAAAAAGAAATGGCTTCGTCTATCAAGAATAGAAAAGCAAGTCCTTAAATCCTTAATTCATCACCTCTCTACTCTTTTGTTTCATGCGATTAAAAGTTTGATTTGTATATAAAATTGATGAAATCGAGATTCATTTTTTTGTTAGGGTGGCGAAGAGCAAACATTTCGTTGCACCAATCATATCGAGCTCTTTAGATTCTTTATATCTGATATTATATTTGATGCATCCACTATTCCATTTGTGGTGCATGCTTTTGCATTAGTTTAAGGCTGTACTTGAAGATGGAATCATTGTCTTGATATTGGATTTGTTTTTATTTTAAGTAGTTTGTTATTTGCAATGTTATCACATGTGGATGTGATTATTTTGAATGAAGTACATTACTTGAATGACATATCTAAGGAATGTCGGATGAATTTTTTTTCCAATTCTATAATTTTCTACCCCATTCATTTGCTTCATCCGATTAATTATTTTTATCATATGTAAGCTATTTATTGCCCTAGAGAAGTTCAATTTAGCTGTCTATCAACAAATGTTGCCAACTTGATAAGCTGGTAGTTTGGATTGGTTAAGTACCATAGCTATCCCTTCTATTATGCAGTTTCTTTACTAGCTAGAGTTCTGCAGAATATTGTTGTTTTAAAGCATAGCGGTGGTTTCAAACTCCAAAATGTGCACTCTACTTGCTACACATGTCCTGTTGTTTATCTTTATTTTGCTTCAATCGCGTCTTATACGGAAGAAAATGGATATAGGCGTTAATTGATATATGTACTGCTATGATTAACTAACTTCTCATTGGGCCTAATTTTGGTTTACAATATTGTTGTTTACTCACAATTTTGTTTGAAGTGTAATATTGCAGGTTTAATACTTCTGTTTATCTGTGAATTTGACTTTTCCGTTATTATATTTTGCATCTCTTTAGTGCAACCTTGTACCATCTCACACTTTTATAGCTTAAAATGACCTTTATACTTGTAAGAGAAAATATGTTCCAATTCTGTACTTCTGACCTGAGAACATGGAGGACCACACTCTTCCAGTAATAACCCTTAGTGATATTGGAACAAAATTTGGAAATGGAGCATACAACATCATGGATAATGGTGTGTTAAGATTTGATCATGTACATATTTCGAGAGACAAATCTTGATGATGTATGTTGCCATTCAACTTAAGTATACTGATTTATTTTGTATTTACGCTATCATTTCTCAATTCAGGATAGTTTAGGAATATTTATGATGCCAGTACTTTGGGATGGTATTGGTTTTTGAAGCATATTATTCGTTAGATGTTTATTGCTAAAATCTGGATTTTTTTTTTTTGCACAAGTACAAATGCGATTGTAGAATTGCCAAAACCTCAAAATTTGAGAATTTGAAGCATCTATATCAGGCACGTTAACGTTACCTTAAAAATGACAAAACTTGTGCATTGTACGGGCAAATGACTAGTAATAATAAAAGTAGGGATATTGACCTAATATGATTGATAAGTTAATTCTATTTTTTGAAAATTTAAATTGCAAGGTAAAAATGAAAGAGGAAGACTGACGCTACACTCTGAAGATTGATTAGGGCTAGAACCATTAATTATGAAATTGGACAATCTTTTCCCCTTTAAATTAGTAGCTTTTCAAATTTTTATAACGAAACATTTTTTTATCGCGCATAGTCATTCTCCGTGAGAGTGTTTACATAAAATTTACAGCGAATAACTTTTACTAAAATATTAGCGCTCAAGATAATATATAAGTCGAAGAAATTGATACACAAGATGGGCAAAAATATCTACTTCGTATAATTTAATATAAAAATGTCAATGAGTAGAAAATGGATGCTCCCTATGTTGCAAAAAATAGGAAAATAGTTTTTGAAAGGTACTAGATGTCCCACCATTTGATTATTTTGTTTCGAGTATAAAATCGCTTTCTTATTGATTTGCTAATCGTTTTGGGTATGTGAAATTAAATTCAAGTTATTTTAAATTTGTAGCGTTTCATAAACTTAGGAACACGTTTCTCCTACATAATTAGTTGGTAATTTAATAAGAAATTATATGATTTAGAGAATCGAACTGGAGCGAGAACCAATTTTCTTATAGTAGAATCATTAGTTCCATATGTAAGTATGCAATCGAACTAAAACTGTAGCCAAAATTATTAATGCAAATTATGATACATAGTTATTACAAAAAGTTAATACTTACATACTAAATCAATACAATAATATCATTTATTTCAAATTATAAAAAGTATTCACCAAATTAACAAGTAAAGCTAATTAAATAAAGGGTAATTGGCACAAAACGTCCATACCTTTTATAATTTTTGTGGAAAACGTCCCTACCTTTCGTTTTTTGGCCCATTTCATCCATACCTTTACCTTTTTCTGTGGAAAACATCATTTTCATCATTTTTCTCAATAAAAAGTTCTAAAATGACTAATATACCCTTCTATTTAAATAAAAAAAAATAAAGAACTAATTGCAATCATAATTCCAATTTTTAAAAAAATTCAAAAGAGGAGGTGGAGGTGGAGAATTTATTTATTTATTTATTTGGAACTACAATTGCATCTAGTTCTTTATTTTTTTATTTAAATAGAATGATATATTAGTCATTTTATAGTTTTTTATTGAAAAAAATGATGAAAATGATGTTTTGCACAAGAAAAGGTAAAGGTGGGGATGAAATGCGCCAAAATACGAAAGGTATGAATGTTTTCCACAAAAATCATGAAAGGTAGGGACGTTTTGTGCTAATTACTCTTAAATAAAAGTTGCTTAGGTTAGCATTGGTTCAATATTGGATACAATAATAGAAATTGAACCAAAATGGGCCACTTCTTAGTTCCAGGAACAAAAAATGTTTAAAGTTTAAGCAAAAATGAATTGAAATAGTCAATTCTGGATTGGTTTGATTGGTTTCAGTCCTTTGCCCATCATAACAAGCGTATGATAACAAATGTAGCTTGATTAGAGTATTAAAGAAAATATGTTTTTGTACTACTAAGTATAAATGTGTCTGTACTTTTTAATCATATGTTTAATATTTATACACAATTCTATTATACAAAATATGACTCGTATCTCGAATATTAAACATCAATACCAATATTGCTACGTGTTTGATAATTATTTTTCCTTCAAATAAGTAATCTATCAAACTTAAGTAGTTAAGCAATTTTCTTTCTGGAGGAATTATTTTCCACGTGAGTTCTCATATAAAATTTAGAAGTGAATAACTTTTATGGTAATATTAACACTTAGGTTATTATATTAGTCAAACAAGCTGACGCACGATATATGCACAAGTATTTACTTCGTACATAAGCTAGGGTGTGTTTTATTGTCAATATTTTTTCATGAAAAATGTTATTTTCCTTCCAAATTTATACTTTTGTGTTATTTGATTGATTTTTTTTCCATGAACAATATTTTCCTATTTTTGGTAACATGACCATATTTTCGTTGAAAAGAAGGAGATTAAGTTTTTATTTACCAAGTAATTTATTCTCTCTCTCTCTCTCTCATCTACCTTCTCTCTCTCTCATTTACCCACCAATAAAATGGACAAGTAAAATATTTTTTAGGTTAAATATTAAATCAATCAAACACATCTAATTGATAATTTTCATGCAAAAAAGTTATAGAAATTTTAATTACCTAAAATTTATATTCTTTTCATATAAATTCATTGCTTGCAATCAAATACATCCTTAATATAAATAAAGTCAATAAACCGAAATCCTTATGTTTAAAAAATATATTTATAAGATATTGGATATTCTTATAAATAACAAGGCCATTGCTTGGCTGGTTTCTTAAGTTTCAATGCTTGCAATCAAGCAAACCATTTATCACATTTTATGATCTTTGAAAATAATAAGGGGCTGTTTGGGCCTCATTTTTTCACCCAAAAAATTGATTTTTTGACCGTTATTTTACTATTTCAGCCGTCATATTTGACTTCTTCTCTCACAGGTGGACCCCACTTTTCTCCTAACGGTCAAAAAATCAATTTTCAAAATCACTCCCAAACAGACTCTAATATTTACCTGGTAACTTTGTATTTAACTAGAAATCATATGCTAGAATTGAATTGAATCCATAATCAATAGTTACCTCATAATGAAATCGTTTCACGTATAATTATGGAATCGAACCAAAGCTGAACAAAATCGAATGATTCAGTTTCATTTTGATTAGTGTACCATGACCAAAAATTTCAAATCATTAGTGCAAATTACAGTAAAAGTGTATCATAAGAATTTAATACTCACATTCAAAATAATTCTTAAGGGCTATTGAATGTTTGGGAAAGAAGAATGAATATAATTTTCAAAAGTGAAGCTAAGATCTTTTCCATTAAGTTAATATGGTTGGAAAGGGTCTTAGTTGTAGAGAAATATTAGATCAAAAGATAAAATAAAAAATTTTGATAAAAAATATAGATTGATACTTCTCCTAAGCACATCAACATTTTAATAGGAATATTTATTTCCTAGGAAATGAAAAATGAGATAATCTATAAACAACTGAATTAACCCTAACTTAAGGGGAAAGAAAATTCCACTTGACCTAATGAATATAGGCACAAAAGTTTCATGCATATGTCAAACATAATGAAAATTCTAAAAAAAAGGATATAAAATGCTCTATCCCAATTATCTAAAAAAAGGTTGAAAATATTAGCGATGAGAAGTCTTCCAGATGGTATATTGACATGGGCTGACCAATCTATCCCATCATCCAAACGAGGAGACGACGAAAACAAAGAAACAAGACTTTAGTAATTTTACTCCCTATTAATGTTCTAGCTTTTCTAAAAGATGAGATCATATTTAATGAAGCAATAAGGTCAAACAGTGAAGCATCTCCACTTTACTCCACCCAACCACCTCTACTGAAAAAGAGATTACCAAAATGATCACATTCGAGCACTTTCTTTGCAAGATATCGTTGTAGCTTGACTTTACTAAACCATGCAAGGGAGACATAGGCTTAATAAATTTATGTCCCAGCAAAACTAATAACATTCAATGCAATGTCACATTCTATCTTCATACAAAATAGCGGCTAATATAAATGATTCACCAAATTAAAAGATAAGCATAATAATAATGAAAAAAAATCGACTAGGGTAGAATTGATTCTACGATTTGAGTACTTGATGAAATCGAACCAAAATTGGCTAGTTCTTGTTTCCAATAAACAAAACTATTTGAAATTTAAGCATATTTGAACCGATCAATTCTGATTTGGTTCAATTGATTCCAAATCTTATACCTACCCTCATTCTCTATCTCGACAATTGAGAAATATAAGCTATTTTGAATTGTTGTATTTAAATTTCAAACTTTGTGATTTTAACATCTTTAAGCAAGGTTATGACAATAAATGTAGCCAGATCAAAACATTGAAGAAAAATACGATAACAAACGTAGTAAGATCATAATATTAAAAAAAATGTTTACTTAATAGATACGATATATAACTGTGTCATATTTTGGCACTTCAAACCACAAGTTTTATTGTTTATTCATAATACCATTGCATCGATCATAATTTGTATATCAAATTTTAAACATCAACACAGATTATTGCAATATATTCAATTTTTTGAAGTTAAAAGTTCTAGAAAAACATACTGTTTTCCTTCAATTTTATTATTGTTCAACCATGCTCCAATTGTTTTAGATTCTAAATATTTTTGTTAGAAATCTCATTCAACCAAAAATAAAGAAAAAAACAAATTCATTTTCTCCACCTGGCCCCATCCCAAAAAGGAAAAAGGAAAAAAGAATTAATTAATATATAATAAAAGAACTAACAAACAAAGAAGAAAAAGTATAATAATCAAAATTGCGATTAAAATAAAGTGCAAACATCACCAAAATAAGTTGATTATTTTAGCCCTAATTACAATCAAAATAATTATCTTAAATGATCATTTTCTCCTTTTCACCACATAACGAATCCATTCGGACCATTCCCTTCCCAGACACTCACTTTGCATAGTACAAAAACTTTCACACTACCCAACCTCCACGCCTTCACCCCATCCCACACACACCCCTACTCGGATACACTATTCGGTATTCACCCGCACATATAGATACGTAGGAGTGTATGTATTCCTTGCCTCCGATCTTTTATTCGCCAAGATTATTGAGTAAGTCTTTTCTCTCTTTTCATTTATACAGAAGAAGGTAGATACAACCGGTATATGATTGGGTATATAGTATATATGCATGCAATTGAGTAGTTATTGGAATAATTGATATGGGGCATAAGAAGCGAAATCTTGCTTCACGCTCCAAACCCTCACAGCCACCGTCCGCGCCGCCACCGTCCTCTGCAATCGTCGCCGTCGACAATAGTGCAACGTTTTCGGCTAATATACCAAATCCCACCACAAATATAGTTGAAAAAACTGAGGCCCTAGATTCGGAAAGCAAGAACGATGCAAACCCGTCATCGTATAGTACAATCAAGTTCGAATGTGAGAAGGCCCTCACGACACTGCGGCGGGGGAACCATACCAAAGCCCTAAGGTTGATGAAGGATTTATGCTCGAAACACGAGAACTCACCTCACTCGGCTTTGATTCACCGGGTTCAGGGGACCGTTTGTGTGAAGGTCGCCTCGATTATTGACGACCCGAATGCTAAACAGAGGCATTTGAAGAATGCAGTTGAGAGTGCAAGGAAAGCCATGACCTTGTCTCCGAATTCTATTGAGTTTGCACATTTTTATGCAAATTTGTTATATGAGGCGGCAAATGAGGGGAAGGAGTACGAGGAGGTGGTGCAAGAGTGTGAGAGGGCATTGGCAATTGAGAACCCTGTGGACCCTGCCAAGGAGAGCCTGCAAGAGGAGAGCCAGCAGAAGATCTCCACATCAGAGGCTCGAGTTGCCCACATGCAAAGTGAGCTTAAATCTTTAATTCAGAAATCGAACATTGCATCCATTTCAACGTGGATGAAGAATTTAGGCAATGGAGAGGATAAGTTTCGTTTGATTCCAATAAGGAGGGCCGCAGAGGACCCAATGGAATTGAGATTGGTGCAGGCAAGAAGGCCAAACGAGATTAAGAAGGCAACTAAGACTCCTGAGGAACGACGGAAGGAGATTGAGGTGAGAGTGGCCGCAGCTCGGCTTTTACAGCAGAAATCTGAGTCTCCCCAGTTGGGAAATGGGGAAAATAGTAACAAGTTATTGGATTCTGGTTTTGGGTTGGGGCAGAGAGTGGCAGAAAGAAGGAAAAGTGGGAATGTGAGGAAAAATGCTTCTTCAGCTGAGAGAAGGGACTGGGTCCAGTCATATTGGAACTCCATGAGTTTGGATGGGAAGAAAGATTTGCTTAGAGTCAGAATATCAGATCTCAAAGCTCATTTTAGTTTGTCAAAGGACTTGTCTGCCAGTGAAGTGCTTAATGAAGCTTTATCTTTTGGTGAATCAAACAAAGTTTGGAAATTTTGGAAATGCTTTCGCTGCAACGAGAAATTTGCTGATGCAGATTTGTACATGCAGCATGTTGTGCAGGAGCATATGGGGACTCTGATACCCAAAATGCAGTCTATTTTACCCCAAGGTGTCGAGAATGAGTGGGCTGAGATGCTTATTAACTGTTCTTGGAAACCATTGGATTTAACTGCAGCAATTAGGATGCTCGAAAAACAATCAAAACCTGAGGCACCTGATTTTCTGGATGACTCGTACCCAAGAAATGACTCAGAAGATTCCAAAGAATTTTTTGTTGACTCTTACTGTAGTGAGTATGAATGGGAGTCGTCGATTGGAAAGAAGAAACTGGGTGATAATTGCAATGTTAGTACCCAAGAGAGCAGGGAATTTGAAGATGTTGAGTGGATGGATTGTGATGGTGATCAAGACAGTAAGGAAAGTCTCATTAATAAAAACTGGCCTTCGTCTGATGATCCTGAGCGTGCAAAGCTTCTTGAAAAAATCCATTCCATATTTCAGGCTCTTATCAAACAGAAGTATCTTGCTTCAAGTCATCTTAGCAAGGTTATACACTTTGCGGTGGAGGAGCTTCAGGGTGTCTTTGGTTCTCAACTTCTTAAATCCAATGTGGACCAAACGCCCCTGTGCATCTGCTTTTTAGGTGCTTCAGAGCTCAAGAAAATATTGAAATTTTTGCAGGAAATTTCTCATTCTTGCGGACTGGGTAGATATTCTGAGAGAAATAATCCCACAGGTGATTTAAACAGTGGCATACAGGATGTTGACAATGTGGAGAAGTTAATTATTAGTCCAGATGCTTCATTTTTGGTGCTTGACGAGCATTTTCTCCCCTGCAAGCTCCCTTCCTCATCTTGTGATGATGCTGGTACTAATGATTTCAGTTCAGCAACTGCTTCACGTGTCAACTTTGAGAATGGCGTTGTACTTGATTCAGATGCATTACTATACTGGATATTTACAGGTCCATCGAGTGGGGAACAATTGGCATCCTGGAAGCGTGAAGGAGAAGAGAAAGCACAGCAAGGTATGGAAATTCTGCAGTTGCTTGAGAAGGAATTTTTCCATCTACAGGGTTTGTGTGAGAGAAAATGTGAGCATTTAAGTTACGAGGAGGCGTTGCAGGCTGTCGAGGATCTCTATTTGGAAGAGGGAAAAAAAAGAGATCATGTTATGGATTTTGTTCCCCAAGGTTATGACTCTATACTGAGGAAGCGTCGAGAAGAACTCCTTGAGCGTGACAATGAAATGACCCCAATTAGCAATAGGTTCGAGTTGGACGCAATCACAAATGTTTTAAAGGATGCTGAATCCTTGAATGTCAACCAATTTGGCTTTGAGGAAGCTTATACTGGTGTGACATCTCATCTTTGTGATCTAGAATCTGGTGATGGCTGGAGAACGAAAGACTATCTTCATCAGGTGGACTCTTGCATAGAAGTTGCGATACAGAGACAGAAAGAACAAGTTTCTATAGAGGTTGTTGCATTAGTTTTGCTTCTATTTTTTCCATCAAAAGTATGGGCCTGCATTGCTGCTTTATCTCACCTTTTTCAGTGATACAGCTCAGCAAAATTGATGCAAGAATCATGCGAATTCTTACCGGTATGCAGCAGTTTGAAGTTAAGCTTGAGCCTGCAGCTGCCAGTGATTTTCAATCAATCTTAGTGCCTCTAGTGAAATCGTTTTTGCGGGTTTGTGTTCATCTTAACATACTTTTTTAAACATTTCCTCAGCGTCCTTGTCCCCTTGTGCTGTAAGTTTAAAGTTTCTTTTGTTCATCTTTTCTAGGCAATATTGGAGGATATGGCAGAGAAAGATGCCACAGAGAAATCTGATGCTGCCAGAGAAGCATTTTTAGCAGAACTTGCTCTAGATTTTAAGAAGGGTGTTGGTGGAGGTGAGAGTTTAAAACACGTGCAGGAGAAGACGAAGGATAAGAAAAAGAACAAGGATAATCGGAAAAGCAAGGATTCAAAGGTTGAACCATATGATCAGACTTTGTATGGTTTATCATCTACTATAAGTTTATCATAAGAACTGTAGGATATGAAGTTACGGTTTGCTTGCTTTACATTCCAACTACTATTTTGCAGGTCACCGGTTTTAGTGAGCTGAATATGCTTCGTGATCAGAGATCTGAAGAAATGTTTGTCTCTCCTTTTGCACACAGCGCTTTTTCATTTGCATGTTATTCTTGCGTTTCTTCTTTATTATCTTTCCTTCCACTGTGTTGCTGCAGATCACTTCCAAATGCTCATGATGGAGATGATTCAAATGCTGAAATTGCTGTAGCTGGGACCGATGATACTTTGAGACTACAGGAAGAGGAATACAGATGCATTATTGAACAATTTGAACTGGAAGCTGAGGAAAGAAAGCTTGAAGAAACTCTGGAATATCAAAGGCGTATTGAAAACGAGGCAAAACAGAAGCATATTGAGGAACTGCATAAAAAGATATCGAGAATAATTCCTGAGAAGATTGAAGCCGTTGCCATACCTAATAATGACTTGAGGCACAACTTTGATGTCCAAGTTTCCAATGAACAATGGACAAATGGCAAGGTGAGGATGTCTGTCCCAAAGGTCTCCACATTGGAGTCACTGGTGCTTCCAATTTTTTGTTTATGGCTATTCATCATAAAAAGTGTTATGCTACCTGTATTTTGTTCACAATTTTATATTCATTTTTTTTTTCGAGTAAGAGAAATAATTTTTATTTAAAAGGATTGAAATTTATGAACTTTTATTACTAGAAAACCTCAATTCAAAAGGATGAATTTACGACCATTCCGGACGGTTTGCTGAAGAACACTACCAATGGGGCTGCACTGAGAACTGGTAGCAATTTCTCTCACGATCTTGAAAGTTTAACAAGTGTTTTCACTATATAGTTTGGCCCAATCTGGTAACTTCACCATAAACTTTGAAAGTGTTATCATATGATCTCTCTTGCAGTCTTAGACAATGGAGGAATTCCAAAAGATGGTGGTTTAACTTCTGACCGAAGTTCACGAAGGAGAGGTAGACGGCAAAAGACTCCAACTAGATTAAGTGATGGAAAGTATCGACCACTCTCTTCAGAAAAGGAAAATACTGAAGTTGGTCAACCAAGATCTACAAACACAATCCCTGAAGAAAGCGGTATGTACTCACTAAAACTACAGCTTCTTGGCTTGTGATATTGGGATTCTATTCTTAAATTTTACTAGAACTTGAATACTTCTAAAGTGCAAATTTGATCCATGGGTAACCATGTAGCATGTTCATAACTTGGTCTTGGTAAAGGATGAACTAGACGTCAATAGATCTACATTTTGGCCTGGCCACCTTTGTTCTCCCTTATTTTCCTGACGAATTGTTTGAACTGAAACCCCCCCCCCCCCCT